TGAAGAGTGTGATCACTTTTGGAGAACTTGAAACATATAATACATATTTACAGGTATCTGATATCTCTCTCTCTCTCTCTCTCTCTCTCTCTCTCTCTCTCTCTCTCTCTCTCTCTCTCTCTCTCTCTCTCTAACTCTCTCTCTCTCTCACCCTCTCTCTCTCTCTCTGAGTCTCCGTCTCTTCGCGACCGATTAATAACCCATGTGTCTTTTGAAGAGTGACCTCCATTTTGCGCAGAGGTCGCTGTGCCTGAGCTTGCCGATCAATGCGGCCAAGAATCGTCGCCGATGGTGTGCCTTGTGGTTGCCGCCCATGTGGCCTGAGTCGTGTCCTCTGTCTCACTCGTCGCCCTCCTCCATCATCTCCGTCCGCCGCCCGTACTTTAGGATTATAATCGGAGTCCCCCGCATCATCAGTGCCTGTGGTCTCTCCTGGGCGACATCCGTGCTGTCGTCGTGGACGATAAGTACACTGCCTCGTCTCTTCTGACCTGCCACTGCATCCCCTGCACCCTCCCTAGCGACACTGTCCGTCGTCGTTGCAGCCCTCCCTCGAACATCCAATGCATCGTCGCCAGGTGCAATCTCTCCGTTCTCGAGATGCACAACACTGGATCGCCCAATATGGGAACGCATATGTGACGACGAACGTGACGCCTTCCTTGCTGAGGCCTTCTTCCTCGGCCGAGAAAGACTCGCCTTCGCGGCCCTCGTAGCATGGACATCAGATGTCTTCGTCGACAAAACACTCCCGTGTTGGTCCTCAAATTCTGTCATGGCGGTGTGCCGAGCACCATCGACACTCCCTGTAGATTGTGTCTCCATAGACAGTGCAGATGGCCTGCCAACAATCCGGACTCCCTGCTTGTCCAGCCCCCCAGTACTGCTCCCGCTGACATAGAATGCCACTGTCGGCAAAACAGTAGCTCTATCGCACTGTGCTGTCGGCGATGACCCAACCACAGGCTGTTGTGTCTCGTCCGTGGTGTCCGTGGCGGGGACGCCTCCAACTGCGCCGACACCCGCGGTAATGGGATGATGCTCTGAGTTTGACGATGGATGTGCGGTCTTGCTTCTTTTTCGACTGCGTCAACTGGCCCACCTGTAGATCCTTCCTCTGCGTCGTCAAACGAGTAAGACAGACTACGGTGTGCGATGCTGCGGTGACCGTCGCGGCGGTGTCGCATCGTCGTCTCGGCCAAACCAAGGTCCAGCTCGTGTGGTCTGCCAACACAAAAAATCGTGGGCGTGGCAGACACCATTGGGCTCGTAATCATATCGCCTCCTACCTCGTCAAACGCGTCTGGTCCACGCTCCATAGCGAAAGGTTGTTGTGGGTTGGGCGGTGACACGTGGGGTAGACCAGGGGCTATCAACGTCGACAAGTCCAGTAGAGAAACGAGCACCGAGTCCATGACCAGTAACTCGCCGGTACCCGGAAGACTATCGGTGGGGCATGCCAGGCCGACATGGCCTGCGGCGCTCTGCTCAGTTGCGGGAGTGTGTGAGATCTCACCTGCCGGGCCTTCCGGTAGATCCTCGCCTAGACATACAACAACAGTCCCCTAACACCCCTCCATCAATGCAGGCGAAGACTGCGATACAGTGTTGACTGCATTGGCTCCGTGTGTGCCTGATCGCTGCATATCAACCCCCTCCCTGCATACATTGGGCTGACCTCCATGAACACTGTGAGGTGGGAGCATACTCTCTTGCTTCGCCGCTGCCGGTGGTCGTCGCACATCTGAGGTCAGTGCAACTGAGGTTGCCGCTCCGGCAGACGTGAGTGGATGCAGTGCACCAGCAGAACCCTCATCCTGCGTTACCGGGAGACGACAGATGTCTTCCTCAAACTTGGGATGGCGCATCAATGGTGCAGGACCCTGTTGCGATTCTGGGATTGCTCCGGAGGACCCCATCGGAGTTGTCGCATGCATACTCAAAGTGTCATTTCGTGGATGACGGCTCCCGTCATCCAGCTCGATCCGCTCCTCGCCGCCGCCATTGCAGAAAGAGTCCTTGGAAACTGGAATCTGCTCAGTTGCAGGGATCCGTGCTCGTGGAATGCTAGCAACCCCACCATGACGTTTGCGCACACGTGAAGCGATAGTGTCTCATTCCCTTGGTCCACGTTTCAAGCGCCTCAAGTCACCGCCCTAGACAAGTCGTGAACGGTCATCGTCCGCTCCATCTCGAGCGCCATCCGGTGTTGTGTGGTGCTCGCCTCCTGCCCCGTCGCCATGCATGGTGTCACCATTTGCACGTCTCAAGGCCCCCGCACCGCTCCGTGCATCAGCGTCACCATCATTGTGACAATGTCCCGCTCCCTCGTCAGGCCCTCTATAAGCGTCTTTCCGATCTCGTGGTTGATCCCCTCCATCACCGCGGGGTCGTGGCCGATCTCCTCCATCACCGTGATCATCGCGTCCGGTGTCACCGTCATCGTCTACGTCCGGGTGACGGTCGTTGAAATCGCTGTCGCCATCCTATGCAGGCCTGCCAGTCCCAAGTAAATCCGCATCGTCACTGGACGAGCTCTTGTACAAAAAGTCTTCCTTATCCCATCCTTGTTGAGGCTTGCGTAAAAGCTCGTCTGTCGTCCTTCCATGGCTCGCGACACTCCGCCTCCCGTCTGGACCTCCACGCCTGCCTCGCCCACGACCGCCCCGACGACCACCCCGACAACCACCTCCGCGACCGCCGCCACGACACCTCCTCCTGTCAGACTCCCACAATCGACGAGTGGCTTCCATGCAGGACACGGCGCGCATCCTCTCTCTCGCATGCATCAACTCCTCCTGTGTCACAGTCACAAGGGCTCCTCGGTCTGAGACAAGTTGCTGGTCGGTGGGCACCTCCTCCTCCACCTGCTGCCAGTAGTGCACCCAGCTCCCGTACGGATGTGGCCTGTCATTGAGAGCATCGTCCGACATAGGCTGCCTGTCGAGGAGCCAAAGGTTCCAGTGGCATCGCATGAGCTTCTCAGCTCGTGCCACCTCCAATCTGTTACGAGATTTGAAGTGGATGAAACTCCAACGGGACCAAGCTCTCTCGCAAGGCGATGCAGTCGCCCACATACGCAGTATCCTGCCAGCGAAGAAGGTCGTGTGTAGGAACCTCTTCTCCTTCGACTCCCAGAAATAGGCTGGATGGGTATAGCTCCTCGTCCCCCGGTCCACGGCGACGTCGTCGAACGACAGCTCCCTAGAATGAAACTTGTCAATGGCAGTCAGGACCTCGTTGTGCTGATCCGAATGCTCTGGGTACCCAAACTGAATCAGAGCGAGTTTCAAACCGTGCTGCATCTCGTCGTCGTCTGACATTGTGCGCTCTCGAAACTTGGGGTCCAACATCATGGCAGTAACATGAGCAGGCGACTTGAACATGGTGCGTCGTCTGTCAAACACTTCAAGCACCGCGTCCTGCTCGTCCTTCTCCAAGATGGCAAAAGCAAACAAACAACGCACGATCATCTCGTTGTACCGACGCAAAATCTTGCCAATCTGCCTCATGTCGCCTATGTGTCCATTCAACGTGCAACGAAAAAGTTTCAACTCCGTTGTACCCGTTGAATAGCCCTCGGGCCCCTGTTGAATCCCCGTTGAATAGTACAACAGGCCCTCCCCGTAGAATAATGTTCAACGGGAAGGGCGCATCGGGCCTCGGACACGTCGCGGAGTGCACGTGGAGCAAAAAAAAATTTTCTTCCTGTTGAATCCCGTTGAATTCGAGTTTCATCCCGTCGATTTTTTTTTTTTTTTTTTTTTTTTTTG